GACATTTTAGTTCCACCTGGGGAGGATACTACTAGAAAGGAGGCGTCTGTTGCCCCTGAGAACCCCCCATGACAAGCTTTCTCTAATGTGTGAGCTAAGGTAAATTTTTGTGTTAGAATTGTTTATTGAAATTTTATATACATTAAATTGATATATATTTAATATGTTAAAATAAAATTATGTTAAATTGAGGTTAGGCAGATTAGCAAGAAAACTTTGCGTGCGAGTAAGAGAGGAGATCAATTTTGAAGCTTATGAGGTAAATGTTAAAGCTTATATTATTATTAGAATAATGATATATTTAGTTAATTTGTTTTATTAAAAAACTCATTCGATTAAGAAGTGTGGAAGAAGTCTATTTAGAATTGAGATTAGTAAAAAATTGACGATTTAGTGAAGTGGAGGATTAAGAGTGCGTTTGGGGTGGGGCTTATTCATAGCCCTCCTGTTTGGGAATTACGTTTTACAAGATTTTCTCGAAAAACTTTGCGTGCAATCCGCGTTTCATTTGCTCGAAAGACAAAATAAGCCCTGCGTTCGCTTCCTTCGGCTCTAGCGAATCGCCCGACCACCTCGTTCGTCCTCGCTCGCTTCCTCGTGCGCTCACACGTTTGCTCGCTTCCTCCTCGTTCCTTCGCTTCCTCCTTCGCTTCCTCCTCATTCCCTGGCTTCCTCCTTCGCTTCCTCCTCACTGGAATATTATATGTGAGTTTTTTTTTTAATTTTATAGTTATTTATTTAGATTTTTTGGATTGTGTTATGGTGAGGAGTATTGATTGATGGTAAAAAAAATGGATTTTGAGATTCAAATACTTGAATTGATGAACTGTGGATGGAGTTTTCTTGTGAAGTTTTGGTTTTGATGATTTTGATTATTAGAGTTTTTTGTAAATTTAAAGATAAAATGCTCATTTTTGCTGAATTATTTTATTTGTTTCAGATTTTTCAGTGGTTTTAGTGGTGGATTTCTTTATCGATCAATTAATTTATTTGGATCTCTTCCAGATTCGTGGTGACGCTTTGTCTAAATATTGAAACTAAGAAAATATGCAAATCAGCTGTTTACAAAACACACAAATCAAACAGCTAAACAGCTTATCCAAAACAGGGGCAGAATGATCATTTTTTCAAGATCAATTGTTTTCCAAACTCGCAAACCAAATAGACAGACAGTTTATCCGGATCAACTACTTATCACCAGCTTATCATGATAAACAACTTATCTGGATAAGCTACAGCTGCCCCAAACAGACCCTAAATTAATAAATCTACTAACGATTGAGTTGAGCTATTATATTTTTTAAGTTCAACAATCCTCTTTATTTTAAAATATATGTTTATGCTCATGCGTGCTCTACTTCAAATAGATTTAAATTACAATATACTATTCATATTGTTAGATAAAAAATATATGCTCGATATGCATGATAAGAAAGATATGCATGATATGCAAAACATGCATGATATGCAAAACATGCATGATAAATCGTTGCACATTAGAGTAAGTATGCATATTAGTAGATGAATAAAAATTTCTTAGAAAAATGTATGCTATGAATAATGAAATAACTTATATATGAATGCTTGTATGTGCATGTTAAGAAGAGATATTTACCCCTTAATGATATATAAAGAGGACGCTAGTGTATCCGCGTCACTAAATCTTACCTTGCCGAATTGTCGAGGTAACTGTTCTTCGTCACTAGAAACTATATAGTGGAAAGGATTCACTTCCTCTTCTCGATTTGACGAGTCATTGTTGTGGCCATGAGTGACCTCACTTGATTATCTCCTCTTAGAGGCAGCGAGCCTCTATTGCAGTTAGAGCATTTCTCACTGTATATCCTTCATAGTAATATTTTGGATACCTCTTTGCGAATTTCTCCTAGGTGGCATTATGATCTTTCCTCCCGATCATATTTCTGATGGATGTAGGATTGCAAATCAAGCTGGGATAAGGGGTTTAGGTATTGGTGGTAGGTGTCAGGGTGTATTATTGGTGAAAGTAGAAATGTTGGATTTTGAAAATTTAGGATTGGATCTAGCAATTGTAGTAGGAATGATTTAGATTTTTTTTTTTTGGTGAGGATATTAGGTTAGGTTTTATGGAATCTAAAAATGAAATCCCTAATAATTTAGGATTTGTCGGGCTTTGATACTTAATGATTATGGAATAGCGAGGGAGGGCTAATATGTGGGGTTTATGGTATTTGGAAGGGGATTATTGGGATAAAACTTCTGTTGGACAGTAGGTTCAATGTCGTTGGCGGCCATCTCGGTTCAGAGACGTTCGAGTAGCGAGGAGTTTTCACCACCTATTCTCGAGCAAAATACAAACTCACCATTTGCGAACGAAAGAAGGTACAACACTTCTTAGGGTTGAAACAGTGATTGTAATCTTCAAACTATTAAAATTAAAATCAAACGTCTTTCAATCAAAAAATAACAACATAAAAGTAGTCGTTCAAATATAATACCTACTTAGAAATTAGAATAAATAAATATAAAATAAATCAAATGGAAGGAAGTATGATGAAGGAAATTCTGGTGGCTCAGAAGGAAATCGCGATTCGGGTTGTTTTCGATTTCGCGGAACTGCAAAAATGAGCAGAGACGGGATCGCAGAAATCCCGTCATTACGCTCCCGCATCAGCTGCTCTCACTGTTTTGCTTCTTTTATACTCTCACTCTCATGCTACTCTTACCACTTGCTAGTTGTCGTCTTTCTTGGCTTGCTTGGAATATCGTCCCTTCATTTCTCCACCCTTGCTACTGACGCTAGAAACATTCATTTTTTTTTACTAAGCTTGGCATGTCACTAGTAGTTAAAGATGGACCTTCTTTTTAATGATTTGAATCATTCTTACCTTATTCAACTGTCTCAAATTGTGAATGACTTGAAACTCATATCTATCATCAATAATATAATCAAGCTCAATTATAACATTTTATTGCTTTTGGTCGAGGTCCTTTTGTTTTTTATTAGTTCATAAGACACACTCTTACCTTTGCAAATCTTCTGTGGCTAATGATGACATTAATTTCAAATTTTCCGATCGATATTTTTTGATTATTTCATTCTCACTTGGATGATCATCAATCTTAAAATTTTGATATTGCCTCCACAATTATGTTTCATGGGACATCGTGGCAATAAAAAGTTTTCTCTATTGCACTTACTCTTGAAAAGAACATCTCAAGATTATATACTTTGTACTTGATCTTTTTCTTTGAAGTGAAATTCATGAAAGTTCTAGCACGTTATAGAATAAATGAGACGAGTTATCTTGGTACGTATCGTATATTATTTACTGAAAGAGACTAAGACCTCACTAAAATGAGGTCAACAGTATCGTATATTATTTACTGAAATATTTGATAAGCCTTCTTTGATCTAGAGTGGGTAATTGGATGAGTAACAGCCCGAGACAATTGCTGAAACTCTATGGATTGATTTCAATGTCAGAGTGCGAATCCAATCCTTTGATAGAGCCTCTATATACAACTAAGTTTCATGTGAATTTTGGCCAATGCAATGGTAAGAATGGCAATTCTTTCTTGGTATGGTTAGGGACAAGACAATAGATTCTTGCCTGGTGGTCGAGAGTGTTCCGTGGATAATGGCCACCTTGTAAGGATAATTATGGTTGAAACCAACCTGAACCAACTTTATGAGGTTACAGATGCCCATTGGTGGGTCCTTATCCATCTAAAATGCTTGGGGATGGTTGGATTGATTCAAGTTCCTTTAATGGCAATTCCAAGCATTTTTATGAACAAATTTTGGTTCCCAGATTAATGGTATTTGGGTCCAGCACTTGGGTCAGTTCACCCGAAACCTTTTTCAATTGCCGTAGGCTTGCTTGGGTTGGTTGCTAGTGAGCTTAGGGTTCATCTAACTAGGCTTGATTGCAATTGGTTTAGGTTAAGG